AATACACTCTCCTCTCTTCCACATTCCGTTCTCCTGCTCCCTAGAGTGGATCTGATAAACTCCTTGAGAGCAGAGGTCAGGTGTCTTGAGTTCAAGTCCTCTGCCTGCTGCCACCTTACCTCTGCTGTGCAGTGGGCACCTGGCAGCTCGCCATGAAGCCCAAGGTTTCGCTTGGCTCCATGGGGGCTCTCTTGAGAGGTCAGGTCATGAGTGAAGAGGGCCTGAGTCTGGCAGAATGGCTGGTTCTGGTAGAGCCACATCAGAAAGCCTGGTTCCCCAGGTAACCCTGCCACTTCTAAGACATGGCTTGGAGCAAGGAACTTCTCTCAACAACCTTTATTTTCTAAACTTAAAGGTGACATCTCAGATGGGTATTGTAAAGTTCAAAGACAAGCTGTCTATGAGAAAAACCTTCAAGAATATTTCACTTACCTTGGATTATCCAAGACATACATGAATAACATTTCCAATAACTAAATCCTTTACCCCATGTACTAACACACTAGGAGAAGAAGAGATTCACCATTAGATAGTCAAAAAAAATCAGTTTAAGTTTTATTTGATCAAATAGTATTTTTTACACATAATTAGACTTACTTAATCATTTTTGCCCTATTAGCTTTTTCAATATAGTAGAAAAGGCTTTCAATATATTTCAGGCTTCATTTAGCCACATCCTATTAAGTTCTGAGTGCATATATTTCATCTTTTAAAAATAGGTTACATAGAATTATTTTAATTTTTTTTTAATAAAAGAATCATCCATTATTTGTGTGTGAAGTTACTTTTTATCCTTACTGTGGGGGCATCTGTCTTTTTTGCTTGCTGTTTCTGAGCTGTGGTGTGGAGATTGCAGCAGGATGACCTTTGTGTTAAAGTAGTGAAGCCGGATGAGGTGGAGAACTTTTAATACCAGCACTCCAGAGGGCAAGGCGGGTGGATCTCTGTAAGCTGGAGGCCAGGTAGTGAGATGCTGTCTTAACAACTATAAAAAAAAAATTGTGTAGTGTGTGTGTGTGTGTGTGTGTGTGTGTTGATACTGGAGAGATGTCTCAGTAGTTAAGAACACTGCTCTTTCAGAGAATCTGGGTTCAATTCCTAGCACACATGGTGGTTCACAAACCATCCATAACTCCAGTTCCATGGGACCCAGCACTCTTTCCTGACTTCCAAAGGCACCAAGCACACGTGGGTTCAACATACATATAAAGTAAATAAATCTTAGAATAACAACAGTTGGGAACTCCTGCAGTGTTTCCTATCTATCCTGCATCTTGGCAGATGTGCCTTAAGCTGTATGTAGGCACAAAGTCTCCCCCATTGGTTTCCTCATTGTCTGCCATATGCTAGATAATCAGATAATCAAGGCTTTGAGATTAGGGACCTACCATCCCAAATGCTTCTACTTGTTACATCTTAGTCAAGGAGATTTCAGCCCCATAAAAAGCCTTTAATGTTGATTGAAAGTAATTCCAGGTTATAGATGCCTGTACCTTGCGTCAAGGGAGGTTTCTAGACCCCAGGGTGAGCTTTATAACTTCTATTTACTGAACTGAATTAGTTTGGACCAAACTCAACACTGAAGGTTTTTTTTTCTCTCTCTTTCTCCTTTCTTCCTCTTAGAGGCAGAGACTCAAATAACTCTGGCTGGCCTGGATATTATTGCTGTGTTGTTTGAGACTGACCTTAAACTCTCAATCTTTCTCTACCTCCCAAATGTTGTGATTACAGGCAGGTACCACCACGCCCAGTTCTCAGAAAGACTCTCTCCTATGACTATCAAAACATAGACCTTTAGAAACCCTGCAGAGATCTGTATAGTCAAGTATAAGGGGCTTGAATTTCTCAGGACAAATGCTTTCCTTTCAAATGAGGCCCCCCTGTTTAGCTTATCACTGCAGGTAGGGGAGCGAGGCTTCACTCAGGGCCCTCTGTGAGTAACTCGAGTTGGGGAAATTCAGAGTTAGGGGTCTCCATCTACAATAGACCAGCGCAGTTTCTCTGATTCTGAGCAACTCCACAGATCTCTGGAGTAGACTGGCCCCAGGATCTCCCAACTGCTACCCTACCCTCTTGGAACTTGACTATGTTACTCCTGCGGTCACTGCCATGCTTCAAAATTCAGCCCCATTTCTCTGTGTTGGGAACAGTCAACCCAGGATTATACATGTTAATATTAACTGCCACTTATGGGGACCTAGTAAGTCTTAGAGTATTCTAGACATTTTACATAACTTTAATTTTTCCCTCTCTAGCACTGTTTAGGGAAGGATGTTATGAAATCATAAGGTGCTCTTAGCACAGTGCCTGCTGGCCACCTTATGACATTCCCTGAGTTTGAGTTCCATGAAGACCGTGGCTTGTGTCACTCCCATCTCTGCTGTGTTACCAGGGCTTAGTGTCTGGCACATAGCTGCTGTTCAATATATACCTGTCAAATGAATCCTACAGATATATTTGCTAGACAGCCCAGTGGTTGCAGATCAGCAGATGAAAGCTTAGGGCAGTTAGGCAAGCTAGCCAGGTCACAATGGGAACTGAACAGCAGTGTGGCCTTCAGAGCCTAGGTGCATCTTCCCAGCCACTCTGCTGCCTGCCCTGATGAGGAGGAATGGTTTTTGACCTTAAGAGACATCTGTCAGCTGGGCCAGGCTCCTAGTATGTGATACTGTAAACTGGCTGTTGGAGTAAGTGGTCTCAACCATGTGAACTCCAGTTTACCAGGGTAGCACCATGCCTACTTGAGCCTATTTCTGAAGTCAGGACTGTGTGCTTTTTTCTTCCCTAGGTTTTAAGGTGGTTGTCAAACACAAACTTCTTTTTTTTCTTTTCTTCTTCTTCTTCTTTTTTTCTTTTTTAGAGACAGGGTTTCTCTGTATAGCCCTGGCTATCCTGGAACTCACTCTGTAGATCAGGCTGGCCTTGAACTCAGAAATCTGCCTGCCTCTGCCTCCCAAGTGCTGGGATTAAAGGTGTGGGCCACCACTGCCCAGCCAGACACAAAGTTCTTTCCTGTGATTGTTTAACCATTTCATGGACCATTTTGTTGCTTTAGCAGATGCTCTACCTCCCTGGACAGACTTCTGTTCGAGGTTTCTTGTAGCTTGTTGATTTCAAAAGTCCATATCGTACAGGAAATTTGCCAAGAGGGTAAAACCTACCTCTTCTCAACATCTACATCTATACATACATATACACATACACATACAGATATATATATATATATCAAGTTATACTCTTTAACAGCAATTAGAAAATTAAGTAAAGCCCACATGATCTAAAAGGTATATGGGGCTGAAGTGATGGCTCAGTGATTAAGAGCAGTCGCTGCTCTGCCAGAGGATCTAGGTCTGGTTCCCAGCACTCATACCACGTGGTGTACAGCTACCTGTAACTCCAGTTCCAGGATACCCAGTACTCTCTTCTGGCCAGGATGGGCACCTGCATGCACATACAAAGAAGCGGGCACACACATTCACATATACATACATATAAATAAATTAAATACTTTCAAATCTCTAAAAGAAATATAATTTGAGGTCAAGTTTTAATGAATCAAAGTTAGTAGAGCTCACATCTACTTTGGAAGAATATGCAAAAGTATAACTAAATACAGTTTGGCTTGAGGTTTTTTGGTTTTCTCCCCCCTCCCCCTAAGATAAGGTTTCTTTGTGTGTCTCTTTCTCATTATGCTAGAACTTGCTCTGTAGATAAGGATGGGCTTAAACTCAGAGATCCACTTGCCTCTGCCCCTGAAGTGCTGGAATTAAAGCCATACCTGGCTTGGTTGTGTGTGTGTATGTGTGTTGGGTTTGTTTGTTTGTTTGTTTTATATTAAGAAATTGACCCTAAGGCCTTGAATATGGTAGGACAGTGTGGTACCATTGAGCTATATCACAAGCCCATTTTAAATTTTTCATTTATTTGATTTTGAGACAGGATCTTATTAAGTTGCTTGGGTTGGCCTAGAACTTACTCTGTCACTTTGGCAAGCTTCAAATTTGTGGGCCTGGTGCCTTGGCTCTTTGGTAGTTGGAATTACAGGCTGCAACCACTAAGCCTGGCTCATTCTTCAGTCTTATGACATGTGTCAAGACGGACACCTCTGCTATGTTTGATTTGTGCAGATAGGACATTTTTTCCAATAAGATGACTGATATGCTTTGTCAATTTTCCAATTATAATTTGGAAGTGATTTTTTAAGCTTATTATTTATAATTGAAACCTCTGTCCAGGAAATAAGTATCACACAAATCAAACTAGAATTATGTTGTCTAGAAATGCTACTTCTCCCTGCTGTCCCAGGCCGAGGTCACATAAAGGTGGAGAAGAACAACTTTTACCCTTGTAAGCGCTTCTGATGAGTGTTTCTGTAAGTCAGACTGGGATCCTATGTTAGTCAAGGCAATTATGTTTTATGAACCAATGGATGTACTTCTCAGACTTCTTGTATTCTGTGTGTTTGCCATTGATTTTTTTTCTATACTCACGGGGACCTGGGAGATAAATATTATATACTTGCCCCAGGCAAAACCCATATTAAAGTCTTCCTTGAAAGAGCTGACTTCCTTCTAGACTGTTCTAAGAGGTGAAAGCATCCGGGGAGCAGCTTGACAATGGGTCGTTTACTCGGGAGGTTTTTCCTAAAGCCCAACCTAATGTCTTTCTCTTTTGATCTTGTTTAAAAGGTAAAAGGGGTTGAGAGTTCACAATGTATCTTCCTGAGTTTACAGAGGGTTTGCCAGCTAGCTTTTCTCCTAGAAAGCTGAATAGATACTTGTATTCTTATAAACACCAGTGTGTTCATGGCACTGCACCTCAGCAAGGAGCAGCCTGTTTTTCCTTCCATGCTTTAGAGAGATGAAGGATGAGAACAGACGTGGGTGATGATTCCTCAAGGCTGTCAGGATGAGAGCGAACAGTGCAGATGCCCTGCAGATGGGTTTGCCTTCTTAGGGTTGTGGAAAATGATTTTCAATTTATTTTTAATTGCTTTTTAGGTACATTTTGACCAATTTAAAGAAGCATTAATACTTATCTTGTCTAGAACTCTATCCAGTGAGGAACACTTTGAGGAGTCAGGTAAGAACACTTCCATTTCTTCTACTTTATATTCCACTTTAAAACTGTATCAAGGGAAGGGCTGGGCATGTAGCTCAGTGATAGAGTGTTTGCCTGACATGCACAAGGCCCCGAGTTCAATCCTCAGCTCTTCTCTCCTTCTTCTCCCCCTCCCCCCGCAAAAAAAGTCTGAAAAGTTTCCTAGAGAAAAATGTGAGGAGCTTGAAGTGTACGTGTGGAGGATTTGGGATATCTGTTCTCCATAGATTGAATTTTCTTTCTGAGACTTCTCTTTTGATACCATCGCAAAAGCCTTGTAGCAGTCAAACTGCAATGGGTTTTAAATGAGGCTTCTTTACTGCAGCAGCTCATTATGGAAGAAATGATTGGATTATTCCTATGTAAGGATTGATGGCCTAGCAATGATTCATAGGAATGAATGACTGATGATAGCTCCTTCAGCCTTGCTTCCTATGTCTGTGTACCATTTGGTCTAGGGGAGATTTTCCTGAAAGAAGAAGCGTGGCCAACAAGAGAGAATTCTGTGTAATCTCAATGAGTAGAAAACCCTCTACTTGTAGACATGACTGCATGGCAGTGTGGTGACTTCTGCATGGCCCCTACCCCACTCTCAAGTGTCTGTGGTCTTGGAACACTTAGTATTAGTAAATATGAAGTAACTGTCATGAAAGAATTAAGCTGTATCTCACTGAGTTTTTTTTTTAAAGAAAGTGCCATATATTATAAGCTATACAGTTATACATCTCAAAAGAGAAAAGTACTGTCAAATATAATCTAAAATGTTTTTGATGATAACATATATTCTAATCCAAATGTGGTCAAATCTGGCCCTGGTGTTGGTATGTCTGAAAATCAGAAAAATATGATAAATATTTGAGGGAAATTCTGAAGTGTAGAAACCTGTATTTAAGTATAGAAAATTATGAAGTCATTTGATTGACATGGGCTGGGGATAAGGGCTGACTGCAAAGGGGCATCAGGAAATTTTGAGGGTGCTGTAACTTCGGTCTCTTGTAATATAATGGGAGTTCCAGGATCACGTGAGCTTTTCCTACCCATACACCTCAATAAGCCTGATTTTAAACAAGAAAACAAATAGGAAACTATATGGCAGTGTGAACAGAGGCGGTCAGCATTTTGTAGAGTTCTTTGGTGTGGCCCATTTACACAGAACACAGATGGAAACTCATTTCTTATCTTCACTGGTGGTCTAGGTCTCCACTGGACTATAAAGTGTTCCAGATTTGGGTCATGTGTCTGGGCTTTACCTTTATTAATGTTCTGAGTTCTGGTGTGAGTCTTCCCCCTTTTTGCTAATGGTATCTATCATTAGTAAGGCTAATTGTGGGCCCAGGGCTTGACACAGCTTCCTGGTAGCTCCTTACTAAGCCCAGGAGCGGTGCTTATATGCTTCAGACTTTTCTAGGCTAATAACAGAATGTCCATAGGTTACTACTGTGGGAACAAGGACTTTTGTTACTTTGGGGATCTCACATTTTATTCGTATTTTTGCTTTTAAAAAGCTTATCATCTTGAGAACAATTATACAAGATCCAGGGACCCTGGATAGAATGGTAGATTTTGGCTGATATGAGCACAGGCAATTTAAACATATTTCCGTTGTCTTCCTATGCTTTCCCAGTGTCCTGGGAAGGGGTAACCTTGACATTAATCCACATGACACTTTCGCCTTCCTTTCCTGAAAACACATAACTATTGTCTGACGGAAGTGTCACTGTAGAAATACAGGTTTGTGGTGACCACACATGTGGAGGCTGCCCTTGTACAAAGTTAGAGACCAATACTTGGAAGACACGAGCTTGGGTCTGCCAGGATGCCAGGCTGACAAAGTGAGTTGCAGATGGTGGTTTTATTACTGCATGTGGGCCACACTACTGTGCAGGCAGAGGCTGCCATTTGGACCAGTCTTCCAGGACTACACCCAGAAGGCATTATCATTCCATCATGTTCCAGAACTGTCCCCAAACCAGTATCATGGAGCAGTAAGATCCCTATGGACAGGGCAGCATTTCAGCCAGCATTTCAATGATACTGCTTACCCTTGTCTTAACAGGATACAAGCCCAGAATGGAACCTGTGCCTTGAATATTTTATCTACTAGGATGTAGGCATCATGGCCCATGATTCCCACACTCCCTGCTTTGTCTGTCATTGGCCTCTGTCTCCCTGGTCCCTCCAATTGCTCATGTCTCTCAAGCCATTTTTTCCTACTAAAACATGCACCCACTCACTCTAAATATGATCCTTTTACCCACTCAGACTGACTGGTTTGTGTGTGCAGAGATAGAAGGGACTCAAGCACAAACTGAGTTCAGCCCTACCTCTCCAGAGCTTCATTATAAGAACCATCCTTAAATGATAGACTCTGCAGCATTTGGGGCTGGAGAGCATTCTGTCGTTTTATAAAAAGCCAAATGGAGGCACAAAGCAGGGCCAGGGCAGTCCCATAAATAATTGACATTAATACTGTATCTCCAGCACATGTACAGAACCTGGTTTTTAAGTATGTTTTAAAGTTTTATTTATTTTTAGCTTATATGTATGTGCCAGTGTCCAAAGAGGCCAGAAGAAGGCATCTGATCCCCTGGAATTAGAGTTACAGGCTACCATGTGGGTGCTGGCAACCAAATCCAGTCCTCTGAAGGAGCAGTAAGTGCTCTTAATTGCTGAGATATCCCTCCAGCCCCTAGTTTAAAAACTTGTAGTCTTTAGATGGATGGGCTGGTCCTCAGTCTGTACAGCCTGTTTCAGAGTTTGCCAAGTTCTAGGTGACAAGAGAGAGGGAACTGCAGCAGGTCATGCCTCACAGCTGGTGACAGAACTTTTGGTGTCCTTACATCATTGGGACGGTTAGAATTTAATTCCTTTCTCACCATATGGATCTATATTGTGGTATGTTCATCATGCCTTTTGAAATCCTAGTGGGCTTTGAGAGAAAAGATAAAAGCAGGAAGGTAACTAAAAAGACAGGTCTATAGTATATAGTGTGAGGAATCCAGAAGGTCATGAAGTGGTAACAGTAAGGTTTCTGTAAGACAAGACATTCTGTGTCTGTATTAGGTAAGTGCTCTAAAGGAACAGGACCAAAGGAATGTGTATCTATATGTGCATATAGATATACTGGTTATAAAATGGAGTTCTCTAGATTGGCTTACATGATATGGTACCTGAACAACCCAAAATGGGTGTCTGTATGTTAGAAAGGCAAGAGCCAGAGATCCCAGAAGTCCCCAGTTAGCATTGAAAACTCACAAGTGCCCATTCCTGGAGAGCCACTGGTACTGGGTACCCCTTGAAAGGTCAAACGTACTGGAGTCTGATGTCTATGGAGGAAAGCAGCAGCAGCCATGGACCCACTCATTCACAAAGAAGCCAAGCTGGTATCACATGCAGTCTTTCACTGGACTTTTAAATCCTGGCTGTCCTTGGAGGGCTTCACAGCCCACATCGAGGGTGAGGTCTACTCCCTGTCACCCTCTCACATGTCCATCTTCTCCAGAAGTGCTCCCATAGACACACAAGTGTGTTTCATCAGTTAGAGACACTTCCTAATCCACTCAAGTTGACAACCCAACCAACCATTATAGCATCTGACCAAGCAAAGTCTCGAAAAATCTTCTTGATATGATAGGAAGAGTGGAAGAGCCTAGAGCCAAAAACCACTGGCTCAGCCTTTTTTTTTTTTTTTTTTTTTTTTTTTTTTTTAAGGCAGGGTTTCTCTGTGTAGCCCTGGCTGTCCTGGAACTCACTCTGTAGACCAGGCTGGCCTTGAACTCAGTAATCTGCCTGCCTCTGCCTCCCAAGTGCTGGGATTAAAGGTGTGTGCCATCACTGCCCGGCACCAGCTGACATCTAAAAATGGTTGGAACCCTTTCAGCTTGTATTGTCTCCTGATGCCCCAATGGCATTATTTAAATCTATAGGAAAAGCCACAAACACTAGTGTTCTCTTTCTGTAAGACTGTACCTAATATAACTATGTTAACTAGCCTAACTAACTGTAAAGTTCTCTGAAGGGCAAATGCTCACTGTGTTCCATGCTCTTAGTCTTCCAATAAAAGGCAGTTGTACATAAATAATACAAAGTAAAGCTCTAAGGGGATTTGAGAGGATACAGAATTAAGTCGTTATTTTTACATCCTAGTCTTGGGTTCTACCCTTTATAACTTCTCTTGCACTATTTTTAGCATCTTTATAACACTGACTTTTGAAATTCTAAGACTAAGTTTTTCCTGTAAAAAAGCAGTAACAATAGAGACACAGTGAAATTTAGATAAGGACAGGACAATGGGCTGGAGATGGCAGGATGTCCTTTGTAGCTTCCAAGCTAATTAACTGTGACAGTGGTCTGACTCCCTCATAGCTGCGTGTGCTATTTAATTTTTAAGTTGTTTGTGGGATCAGAGAGGGGCACCAGCTTATTAACTATTTATTCAATTTGTAATGGCATTGGATTGCTGTGATTTTGTAGTGGAGATGCTGCAGTGCGTGGTGTCAACATGCTCCTGGCTCCGGTCTTTAGAGATGTTAGCTTTCCTTTCATGCGCCTTGCCCTGGGTTTCTGTTGTGGAGTAAATGATAGCATAATGCAAGAAGCCCACTGAAAATGCTTTTCCTTTGTTGATGGGACTGGGAGAGCTGTTTTGGAAAAGCCAACTCAGCTAGGAAAACAGGAAGAGACATTGTTCTGGCTGGTGGTGGTTTCTGTTCCAGAACTTTAATTCCAAGGGCCATTCCATCCCATTTCATTGTAGTTGTTTTCCTTATACATTCAAAAAAGCCATAAATGTAAAAACCATGCTCTTTTGTTCACTTAGCAAGTATGCAGCAGAGTGAATGGGCACTGGGCTAGATCCTGATTTACAGCCATCAAAAAAAGTACAAGTTTGTAACTCCATGCAGAGGTATTGAGCCAAGCTCTGGAGTCTGGTCACTGTCTATACTTGGTACATTGTTTCACTTATAGCTCAAGAGAATTGT